ACAATTTATTCCTAAACTCAATTTATTCCTTTGTGTAGATGGATCTGGCATCGTTATCAATATTTTTGAAAACAAATAATAATTACTTAGCTTCCTCACAATGTTGATTCATGGGAAAATTCATCATTCTTCCCCAAAACTTATTTTCAATCAATTCCCTAAAATTCTAAAATAAATTAGTTCAATCCCTATAGTCACACTTGGATTAAATTGAAATTATGTTTTTGAGAAAAAATGACACAAATAATCCTAATTTTACTTACATTAGTTGCTCATTTTTTGTATATCAATTGCTCATTTTCCCTAGTTACACAAGTTATTATACATCTAATTGTACTTGTTTTTATTTACCATGGTATTATATTGTCAATGAGAGTTGTAAATTTTTTCTACATTCGTTATTAATTCTTATAACATTAATTGTTCATTTTTCTTATGTCGTTATTTTTTATTCAAAGGATTGGGGTTATTTGTGTTATTTTTCTTAAAAACTTAATTTTAATTAGCTCAAATGAAACTCATAGAGACTGAATTGATTGATGTTTTACAATTTTAGGATTGATTGAAAATAAGTTTGGTGGGGGATTCTAATGAAATTTTCCCTTGATTCATTATTATTATTATATTTATTATTATTATTATTATTATTATTATTATATTATTTAACATTTGGATTCAATGTATTGTGGGGTGAAAAAAATACTTCGAAAATCAAAATGAATTAACGGCCTGATGATTTATGTGTGACTCTACACGAATCACGAATTCATGTGATTTTGGAGAAGTCAATATAAAATACAAAGGATGATGAATTCTTTTATTTTTTAAATTTATCATAGTTATTGATTTGGTTTTTAAAAATTAATATTTGTTAATTAAGTCTTTATAATTGTATAATCATATACAATTAGTTTTGTAGTTTGAAGAGGAAAAACAGTTTATTGACTAGCAATGTAAATTATAAGACATTTTTAAAACAAATTTGAGATATCAATAAACATATTAAATACATTTAATAACTTTATTTTTTAAAATAAAAATATAAACTTTTAAAAATACCTATCATTTAATATATTAAAAAGAGAAGGGACATGAATTATTATAGAGAGAAAGAATAAAATTAAAATTGATGCATTTAATGAAACTTTAACCTACCTAAAGAGTCTTATATTTTGGGATGAAAAAATTCTTTAAAAAGTATCCTATAATTTGAGTTGGAGGGAGTATAAGATATGAAATTTCAACAACTAGATAAAAAGTATATTTCAAGATATTAAAAGTTTATCATGCCTAAATATAGTTGTACGAGTTATTGCATTACTAGTTTACTAGTTACTGTGAAATGCGTGCTGTTTGGAACCATTTGAAATGGATGCATACATATATTGTATAGTACTGATTATACTATGTATCTTATATCTTGATATTTTTATTTTTAAAAAATATAGGATATGATAGGTTTTTAATACGTGCAAATATATTTATAAAAAATTATAAAAATATTTAAAATATAATTTTAATTAAAAAATATCTAACCTAGCATATATGTATATATAGTTATTTATGGTGATACCAATCAAACATATAATTCCAGTGTGTTTGGATAGCACATTAATCAATTTTTTTAAGAAAAAAAATTAATTTTGCATGAAATTATTCAAACGGTGACTTTTTCAAAAAATTAATTTTTTCAGAAAAATTGATTTTTTGCAAGCCGAGAATCCGAGTGTATGGAGGAACGCCAAAATCTTGGGAAAAATTACAAAAATAAGCCCAAGCAAAAATTACAAAAACAGCACATAATTAATAAAAATAAAACTAAACTCTATTCTTTTCTTTTCTTTTTTTTTAATAAAATTTAAACTTTGTATCTATAAAAAATTAATATTAGTATTTAAAAATTAAATTATATAGTAATTTATATAGCTAAAAATTAATTCTGATTAAATTATCCAAACATCTTCAATTATATTAAAATCATTTTAGAAAAATAGTATCCAAACACATACGTTATAACATAATCAATTATGATTAAAATCTATCACTTGATTGATTATTTTCATAACTATTATACCCAACTGAAATCCAAACGGACCTCATTAGTTACACTTTTTATTTCATCTCTACCTAATTACTTACCACCTCTTTATTGGTAGTTCTATACTTAAGATTTATACGTTGAAAGATTATATTCCTATATTTTTATAATTAAAAAATAAATTTTATCCTTTTATTATGTCTAAAAATTATTTTTTAATGAAAATCTAATTAGCAACAAAAAAATTAATATGGCAACATTTAATAAAATTTAATTTCTTTAAAATAGTATCAAAATATTGATTTTAAAGTATGAATTTGCAATTTAAAATTATTAGATACACATTAAAAATTAAAATTTTTTAAAATTTAAAAATAATATTTTAATACTTTTTAGATATATATTTAAAACAATATTGACAAGTATCTATATTTAACACAACATTAATGTAAATACGTGAAATAATTTAAAATATCGATACTTTATAAATGCATACCCACAGGCCACATGGGGGAGAACCATATAGTTTTTAATTGTAGCTTAATCAAGAAATGACCCACGTACCTAACAACTTATTGAATTCACAGTAATGACCCACCTGTTTGCTCCCAAACAAAAAAAAAAAAACAAAAAACAAAAAAAGAAAGAAAGACCCACGTACCTAACAACCTATCGAATTCATAGTAGGGGCATCGTTTCCATTATTTGTGGTTAATTTCAAGCTAATTTTTTAACATGTAATTCGTTTCATTAATTTAATTCCTCACAACTTTCATTTTTTCTTATTTAAATTTTAATACTTCAAGAACAGAACTTTGAAGTTTATTTTGGGTATAACAACTGAGAAGTTAAACTGTGAGGACTATAATAAATATGAACTAATAATAAACGAAAATAGGTAAATATTATGAAAGAAAAACTTATAATTAATGATAAAATATATACATACAACACTGAAATGCTAAACACCATTACTATTTTTTTTCACCCCTACTCGAATCTTAATGATAGAGAGAAAAACTCATGATGAAATTGTTAAGAGCCAGGAGAGAGAATATATAGTGGAATATTGGAATTTGTATAAAAAAGGGAATATTATAAAAAAATCAGGTTCAAATTTTCTTAATGGAACAAAAATGTGAGCATAGTTGGAGTTCAAACATTCACTTACAAACTACTTCCACTATTTTAAATTATATGACACTTTTAAAAAAAATTTTTCATTCTAAAATATAAGACACTTTAAATATATTAAAGTTTTATTAATGTGTCAATTTTAATATTATATTTTTCTCTTTATCATTAATTTATATTCTTTCTCTTTTCAATATATTAAATGATGATTATTTTTAAAGTTTATATTTTTATTTTAAAAATATAATATTGTTAAGTATATTTAAAATAAGATTTATTAATATATAAAAATTTATTTAAAAATATTTTATAATTTAAGACTGAAAAGAATATTATTTTGAATAATTTAAATTTAGGGAATTACAATATTTACAACAAAATTTAAATCCACGTAAGTTAGCAGATCTGCAATCAAATTGGAGGGTATATTCGTCCTACAAATCAAATTTGTCGTTTACCTTGGACCTGGACACCTGGTGTCGTGCCAATTATTGAAGCCCGACCAAATGACCAAAAAAGTCCTCAACATTGGTGCCCACGTGGTCAGTGGGCCCATGGAAACAGAAAACCATTGGCAAGACGCCGCGTTTACACTCCACTTCAATCTGGGCAAATGACACACGGGTCCCAGGTACTCCGCCATCGGATAAGCCTAGTCATGCAACGATCCAGATTCCGCAACGTATCATTGGAGCCTGTTTCTCCGCTAAATTATACACATGATGCTAAGCCCTTATCGTTTTTTGAGTATTTAAATCTACTTAGATGGTTATATTTACAGCTTTTTAATTTATATTTTTTAAAATAATTTTTTAAAAAATAAAAAAGTAAAAAGTTATAAATTTAATTAAACCTGAATGATTCAAATAGTATAAAACTCTCAGTTCACATGATAAACATTGAAATTAGGTTCCGTATCATCTCGGTTTCACCGCCGCCCTAACACATTTCAGCTGGTTGCCCGCATCCTCTGGAAGCATCATAAGATTAAGATGCTACCCCGTCTCTGGAGAAGTCTCAACAACTTTTTGGGAAAAACTTGTCTGCTGGTTTACTGCAAGTGTAATAAGACTGTCATTAATTTAATGGTCAGGCAAAGCAGCATTTTTTCCTATTAAAAATTATTTATATATTTTAATTTCATTTTATTTTCACGATAATCCTTGATTATTTTTACTTTATTATAATATAATTAAAATTAAAAATATTGAATCATGTCTTGATCAATAGTTTAGTGAAATAATTTGTTCATGACTAATTTAATCACAATTTGATTATAATTTTAACTTTAACTATGAAATCATTAAAACAATGACCTTACCGGTTAGACTTTACCTCGATTAAAAGTGAGTATGGTTGAATTCAATCAGATTTTAATCTTGACTTGCTTATAAAATTAATATTTTTTCACTCAATTAAACTATAGGTAATTTTTATTTCTGGTATTTACTATGCACATGTTTATGCTTAAAAAGAAAAAAAATTATTGTTTAAAGCAAAAATGAGGAATTAAAACTAAAAATACATATATTTTTTATTTTAAAAATAGAAAATGAATCAGGGATATTCGAGTATATCCAAATGTCTGGATTAGATGAAATTATTGGAGGCGACTGACGTGGATCCTGGCTGTCTGAGAAGGGTTTCAACTTTCGCCCGAATTCAAAACTATTCTGATCTCTGTTAGCCAACGAGATTCCACCACGTAAGCGCCAGAATAGATGTTCCAATGCGCGGCGATTAGAGAGTCGAACTTGGTCCTGAGTGGGGCCCAGCTAACCCCATTCTGGTATAAATTAGAATTCACGCACAATCCATGTCGTTCACCGAGTCTTTCCTTCGCGTCTTCTTTGTTTTCGAGTGAGTTCTTTCCCGTCGTTTAAGTTTGTTGCAGGGTGTCAAAAACAGAGAAAACTCTGCCAAGTGATCAACCATGCGAGGCTCCGCCGTGGCCCCAAGAGTGACTAGAATTCTGGCTACGAGCCACCTCCGGGAGGAGGAAGAGTCGAGCGTCGGCGACGGCGTTGAGTTTGAATTCCTCGATGACGGAGAGGTGTTGACAAAAAGAAGCAGCATCAGCAGCAGCGACGAATGCTGCTCGAACGAGATGGAGTTACTGGACGACGATGTTGATGGGAGAGAGAATGATTCTTCCGTTGAAGAGAATAGAAGCTTCTGGGACAATCAACAACACACTTTTGCAGGTGACATTAAGAACTCCTCAATGTTTGTTGATTTATTAATTATTAATTTGGTTTCCTGTTTCGTTTCTTAGAATTTGATTGCCATATCAGCCCCTTTAAGCTTGATCATTTATTTTCCCCACATTTTACCATGAGATCTGCGACAACAGATAACAAAATTTAGCAGGTTCTTTGGTTTACTATACTTCAAATGCAGAAATTAATTGTTCAGTTACAGAGAGTCCCTTTTAACATTAATGCTTCTGAAATGTCTCTTTTCAAATTTATCTTACACCTTAATCTAATAATTGAGATCTTTCTTTATGATACTCTTCAGTCTTCATCAATCTAGTCAGTTAAAAATGTTTGCAAAAATGATATTCTCATCGAAAGGAAAGTCAAAAGTTAAAAGACTTCATCAAAGTTTTATCAAATTAAACGAACCAGATAACAGCTAGATGTTAGGTTGTTAATGACAATATTTTCGGGCACTCTTAACCGGATTTTTCTTTGTTTTTAAGCCTAAAATCATGGTCAATATGGGGGATCACCGGATCTGTACAACTATGCACTTTAAAACAGAGGTCGTGCATGTGTTGGAAAGAAAACAGACAATACGAATAATTAGGAGCGTTCTAATTAATTTTGGTAAATCTTAGTTTTGAATCTCGAAAGCGTAATATGAATTAAATAAATAATTAACGAGAAAGTATAATGCAAATTGCAGAGTGTAATATGCAGAACAAGTTCAATAGAGACGGGGGTGAGAAACGCAACGAAAGAAGTGGTGAAGGAGATACAGAGCGCCGAAACAGTGTGTGGTTGTGGCTCCCAAGTGGCCCCAATCAGTTGCCGAAGATGCTTGATGAGGGAAGTTTTGAGGCGCCTCCAGAGTCTGGGCTATAATAACTCTGCCCTCTGTAAAACTAAATGGAGGACCTCCAAGGATATTCCAGCAGGTATATATATATATATATATATATATATATATTCTCTCTCATGATTCCTAACCATGCTTGGAATGTTGAAAAAGATTTTTAATGGGAAAAAAAGTGAAATAGTGAAAGGAATACAATGAAGATGAGTGCAAAAAATGATGAATGATATATTTAGGAAAGTGAAAGGAATATTTCTCTGAATAATATTTGATCAATAGAAATGGAAAAGGGATATAAATAAATAAAAATCTAAATGACAAAAAACGTGAATATCTGTTTTTTTTTTTTTTTTGGTTTTGGGTGGGGGGTGGTTTTTAGCATATGATAGTAATAGCTAATTTTTCAAGTTTTGGTGGGGCATATTTGGAATTCCTCGTCAGCTTTTACCTAGCTGCGTGTTATTATTCCATCGCTGATGGAATTTTTTTTAAAGCTTATGATTAAGGAATGGAGATTAAAATGGTTTTTCATTATATCAAAGGGAAACTTTTCCTTATTTCCTCTCACTTTCCCTTTCTAACAAATTCAATTCTTTTCCTTATCAAGGGAAACACAATTTTTTGATCAAAAAAATAAAAAAAGGAACACATTTTTGTCCGATATGTTTATTGTTTTCATGCTATTTTTGAACTTAAATCCGTGTCTAGTGACTTTTCTCCTTAAAAGATAGTAATTTTTGAGGTCTTTCTTCTCTAAACACATCTTGCACGCAGGTCGAACCTATATTAATTAGCTTCTTTTGTCTTTCTTATCTAGTCTTCTGCTTTATTTTCTTTTGTCACTTAGACTATTATTACTTTAGCCGTTAAGTTAGATTACTATGGTCATTAGATCATGACCATTATGAGATTAACAATGATAAGGCCTAGGGTTGTACGTTGAAGCATTGTAGACATAATTTATGTATCATATTTACATACACAAACTTCATCACTGTCAATACCATTTAGAGAAGCCACTAACCATGGTCGGAGATGTGAGTGATGCCAAAAGATCTGTCATTGTCTAAATCGACGAGACTTTAGTTTTTCACGGGGGTAACAACAGAGTGAAAAATGTTAAAAAAATAAAAATAAAAGTCTATCTATAATTATATATATATATATATATCGGCATCTTTTATTACGTGAATCTTATACCACATGAATGTGCAGATCCTAGGCTCATGATCTATATATTAATTATTATGTAGATGAACTTCTTTTTATTCGTATGGGATAAGTTTGAATTAAAGGATACATATTTAGCCTGTATTTTTGCTAGCTTCTCTGATCTTATTTCCTGTATCTCTAGCTAGTTGTAAAGTCGTTTTCATATCTCATTATTACTCTAGCTGTTGAGTTAGACTAATTTATTCATTAGATTATGATCATTATGACATAAAAAAATATAAAACGTGTAATATAAATAAGGTGCACTTTGAAAATTTGTAACCTAAGATTATATTCGTCTTTTTACATGGATTTCATTTTCAATATGAGAGGGAAGGCACTAACCTTGGTCGGATAAAGAGGTGTAAGTTATAAAACAAGATCTATCATTATCTAAGTCACTGTGACTTTAATTTTTTATGGTCATTAATAATTTAATATCCTCAACACAGCAAGTAGTATAAAAAAAATTAAAGATTTCTCTATCTTTTGGACACGATTCTCCCCAACTCATCATGATAATATTTGCATATTTTATTCATACCCTTTATTTTATCACAATATTCACAGGCACTTTTAAAAGTTAAAGCGGTTTAATTTAATATAGAATAAAAAAAAGTTCATGGATAAGTGTTTATTAACGTTAAACACAACCATGCATGATATGTGCAGGGGAGCACAATTTCATAGATGTGATAGACAGCAAAAGCTCAAAGAAAGGAGAGGTGAGGGTGATCATAGAACTGAACTTCCGGGCAGAGTTTGAGATGGCGAGGGGAAGCGAGGACTACAACCGCCTGGTGCGGCGGCTGCCGGAGGTGTTTGTGGGGAAAGCAGAAAGACTAAGCAACGTGATAAAGGTCATGTGCATGGCAGCGAAGAAGTGCATGGAGCAGAAGAAAATGCACTTGGGGCCATGGAGGAAGCAAAGGTACATGCAGGCCAAGTGGCTGGGACCATGTGAAAGGAACACTATCAATTGGACAGGTTCGTTTAACATGTGGGATAATAATTCTTCGGCTGATCAGAGGATGACGATGAAGACAAAACCAAAGGCGTCTATGTTAACTGTGGATTTGCTTGACAAGCTTCCTAGTATGCATTATAAGGCTGTTGAGGTTGTGTAATGAGTTTGATTAATTGTATATCTTGATATTGCTACATATTATGAGAGAAAGCGAGCTTGGATGTTTGTAAATTTTTTTTTCTCCCTTGGTTGAACAAAGAGTGAGAGCTAGTCCAAATAGAGTGGTACATGAGCGGGCTGTAATGAAATAAATAAAATAAATTTTATGAATTAAAAAAATGATCATACGTGCTTTGTAATTTAAAATGAAAAATCTATTTTCATCGTTCTAATCATATCAATTCACCTGGTGTAAACATAAAAAATGAAAGAAATATTTCATGACTTTTTGGGGCCTGAGAGATATTTCATGACTTGACATTGTGATGTTTTAGTTTTAGAGACTCATGAGTGATACGACCATTAAATTACAAATTAATTACTAGAGATAACACTGTCACAAGCAAGCTTAAATGAGTTAATAAATGTGTTACGATAGGGATAAAATGAAATGTGAATATTAATATATAGTTCATGAATTGAAACATATCTACCTGATAAGAACAAGAGGGTGGGAGGGAGATTGGAAGTAATGGCCATTTATTTTTTCTAATCATTTGACAATTGACGCAATCATTAAATAAGAATACCAGGTTCCCTCTAAACTTTATTATTATAAGATCCGTCCCTATCTATTATCTTTATTATAATTTTTTTTTTGTGTCTAGAGACCGCATTAATTTTCCCTTAAATAAATATCTTTTACCAAAGTTGATTTTGAATTTTTAAAATATTTAATTAATTTTAACCGAGCTACGTAAAATATTCAACATGTTTTTATAAAAATGACCAAATTGAAGGAATTTAAGTAATGAACCTAGCTCAAATTGAAGTCAGTATTGGGGAGTCACCATTTGGAAATTATGGTTCTGGTGCAAAGTTCCACAGTTCGCTTGGACTTTACTTATTCCAATCACACGTCACAACACAATTAGAATAATAACAAATATAAGCAATCCTTTAATTTATTTTTAAAATGCAAGATCTCAACCTCATTTAAAAACAAGTTAATTATAAATTCAAAGTTTAATAAAAAGGGCTTATAGAAGCGTAGACACATACCCACTCACTAGAAAAACAAACAATTATTTTTATAAAAAACGTGCCATGTGCCACAGCATGTACCAGATGTGTTGCAATTTGTGGTACAGAGCCATGAGTTCTTGCTCTATGTCATGTGTCACAGCTTGCCACCATGCACCGCGGCGCATGTATTAGAATTTGCTGTCATGACATATTTTTGATATAAACTTTTACCGCGCGCCATTTTCACATCTGGTGTCTGATTGAAGTAATTCAAGCACTCACATAAAGCCTGTAAGATATACTACCAATCACAAATTGGACATCTAAGTGTAAAAAGTTATTTTTTCTCCCAAAAAAAACTTGCATTGTAAGTGTTCAATTTTCACATCTTATCTTAATAGACTATAATAGGTCTTGAGCCAAGTTCAAAAGGACCATGTACACCTGATTGACACATCAAATTACATATAACACATCTAATGCATAAATTGTTCTCTCAATGTCACTTTTCACACTTGTGGTCTCTTACATGAGGTATCGCACATCATCACATATACACACCCACACTTGTTCCACTTTCACACATTTGACTTTCACATATAGGGCCCAAGCTTACCATATAGTCAGGATTCACAAATATATTGGACTTACATAAATGGGGTCAAGCCTCGCCATTTAATCAAATTCTACACATACAAACACATTATCATTCAAAAATTCACATATGTTAACTGTGGAACAAGTTACACATCATATCATATGCTTGTTTAAATAACATCTAGGCCTAACCATGTATTCACTACTCTGATACATTCGGTGAGATGCAATAAAGATTATACAAGCAAGTCACCAAAATAATATAAACACATATATATGCATCCTAGTTAGCAATCAAAATACTTATTACAAATATACATTCATTTCATCCCAAGGTAGTTATATTATTACCAAAAATGAAGCCACTTCTTCCATGCTTCCTTTCCAAATCTTCTAGAACTCTCTTCACCTATACACAAAAGGTAATGGAGTAAGACATACATCTCAATTGGATAAACCCTAAATATTAATTAACAAGTAAAACTAAATACAAGAGATAAATTAACCTCAATTTTAATAAAAAAACAACTTAGATAAATATATATACATGATGCCTTGCTCAATCATCCACTATGCTCATGCACTCCTGATTCTTATAAACAGAGCAAGCTCTATGCTTGGACCAAGACTTCCCAACCTTACATGAAATAGGGCCTACCAACCACTGCTTTAGACTAGGGTATCACATATGGGTGGTATGCTCTCCTATGTCCCTACTAGAAGGATAAAATCAATGCTTAGACCATGAGAACTTTCTAACTTTACACAGAGTAGGGCCATAACCCCTTACCCTAATATAAGGTACACTCATGGATGCATTCCTAAGTCCTCACTAGCAGATCATAATTAATGCTCTAGACCTCTAAGACTTCCTAGCCTTACATAAAGTAGGGCCACGATCCCTTACCCTAGTTTAGGGTACACTCATGGATGCAAATGCACCTGTGTCACTACACACATTTCACGCATCTCTACTTGCACATGTAACATCTAAGAAATTTGAGCATGATTAATTAGCTTAATGAGTATGATTAGTAAATTAATAAGGTGTGTGGCTAGAAGGGTCTAATTAGTGTATTTGTTTTTAATTTCACCCCTTACGGGTCTAAAGTGAGGTTAGGTCATCCGGGCAAAGATAGAAGAAGAAAAAGTGAAGGAAAGCCCTCTGTGCCACATGTTGCAGCGTGTAAACAATCCTTCACGATGCATAGAGGCAACATTAACATGCATTGGAGATCTCTATGCCATGCACAGTGGCGAAAGACTATGTATGCCACAGCACATGGCTAAAAATTAGATAAATCTAGTTTGTGTCTATGTGCGAAAATAGAAGGAGAGAAAAGTTGAGAATGAAGAGCACGACTTGGCTTTATAGGACACATCTATTAGGACCCTTAAAGACATTTAGAGGCTTTCAAATACCTAAAGTAAATAATTTATACCCTTTTCCTTCCTTTCTCTTCCATATTTATAAGGAGTAAAGTTATGGTTTGAGTTGGGAGAGTAATTTTCAATCTATAGGAGTTATGATTCCAAACTCATTGATTAAAATGGATATAATTGGAGTTGTTCAGGTATTTAAACCCAACATTAATGATTTTTGAAGTGGTTGGTTTATAAGAGCCATAAATATTCAAAATTCAACATAAAGGAGGTAGTTGAGAGTTTATGGATCATTAATAGTGGTGTGATGACTCATTAGGGATAATGTGAGTCAATGGAATCTAGAGAACCCATTAGTTATAAATGGGTAGTGAATTTATGGGATTAGTAGAATAGAGAAATGTGAAATTAATATTAATAAAATCTGTAAGAGTGAGATCATAATGATATTTTTGTAATGTGATTGTAGTGTGATTCATATTGGCACCATTTTGAGCTTGGAAGAAGCCTTGAAAGTTGGTATTGTGAGGGGTAAATCTTTTATCTCTCAAATGTTTAAGGTAATTGAGAAAAAACCTAGTTTATATGATTGAATGTTAATTGATCTTTATGAAGCATGGTTGATATTTATAACTATTGATACAATGTTTGGCAAAATGATAAACTTGTGAATTGTGGTATGATTTTTAAAATAGAAACCTTTAGCAAGCCATCTCTTTACAAATAATGATTTGATAAATGGTTAATCATTGTGAAATTTTTGAAAATGTGGTACTTAATATGTAGAGTAAGTTGGGTATGTGAGTATAGATATATGAGTCCATATGATGTGATTGGTTGATTTGAATGCATAATATAATTAAGTATACATGGCATGATCATTGGTTGAAATTTGCTTAAGGAGAGGAGTAGTTGATTAAAACCATGTGGTGTTGGCAATGATCATTGGAATCAAGAACTTGCTTTGGCACCGATCATTGAAATCGAGATGTAGCCCTTATCCCATGATTGATTTGAGACCTTTTCACTTGTTCTACGAGGGACTCGAACCTAACTAGTCTCCACCAGTTCATAAGGAGGCTAGATTACGGTACGTCATACTATAGTTATTAGTATTGGGAGAAACCATGTCACACAAGTGAGTGAGTTAACCCTGCTTCAGTAGCTTCTCACAAATAAAAGACTGGGTTAGTCCGTAAAGGATATAGCCACTGAATAGTCACTGGTTTCATGTTGGAAGTAACAGGAGGGTATAAGGTTAGTATTTGATCATGCATTTAGATCCGACCACATGGTTGCTATTATTATGGTCTAGCATGTACTTTGTAACATCCTGAATTTTGATCTAGGAAAACTAGTTGCTAATCAGGGTTAAATTAGTCAAAAGATTGATTATGATTTAAATGTTGAGTTAATATTTTATGTTGATTTCTTGTTATGTTAATAGGATAAAAGGGTAAAGCGGCAATTTAAGGTGAAACACACAAGCATAAGTGAGATTGACCTTACTGTGCCACGCGTTATGATGAAAGTTGTATGCGCCGCAGCGCATGGCATAGAATTTTACTTAAGACGTAAGCCAAAATGTGTGAAATCAAAAGAGGAAAGAGGAGAAAATGCATCTGAAGTGTGAAGGAGACTTGGCTCTGTTAAGGTATTGAGTTATGGGAGCTCGGGATTCTACTTTAATTAGTAACTTGTTGGATAAGTATCGTGCAGCCCTAAGCTTCATTTCTACCCTTTTTTCATTGAATTTGATCTATTGAGAAATTAAATCAGGAAGTTTAAGGTGTTGTAATCTAAAAGAAAGGTTTAAAAAGAGCTATCAAATATGAAACTAAGGTTTTGTGACTAGTTTAGAGTTAAATTGTTGAACCTTACAGATTTAGGCTTAATTAGCCTAAAGAGTTAGGTTAAAAATGGTGCAATTAGGTGAATAAATGAGTTAAGAGGTTTTTATGATTATTTACATAGCCTATAAGGCCAATGACTATAGATAGTGGACTTATGAATTCAAAAGGTATTAATTAAACCGTTTTATGTGTTAAGGGATTCAGTTTAGCCAAATTAATACCTATAATAAGTATTAAAAATTGACTGAGGGACACTACATTATATAGATTGAGCACTTGTGACATTACTTGTGAGAATCTATACTCTTGCGAGTTCAATATAATTGGTAACCCTTAATAGTAAGGATAAAAGGTAACTAGAGTAACCCTTTGACTTGTTCATTTGTGAAATTATTTACAAGTATTTTTATATAATTATATGCATTG